ATATAACAGATAATAAATCGAAAAATAATTGTAAATGTAATAAAACTATATAAAAATATCTATTCATCAATTTAATTGTTGGACCGATTTTTGAACTATTTTCGTGTGAATCCATCAGACCGCTAAACGCAGGGATTTATTTTAAAATTTATGTATAAGTGACAAAAATTCGCTGTTCGAATACATATCATTCGCAAAGTCTAGTGCAGAACTTGGTTCTTCTAATATAATCTCATTTTAATAATAATAATAATCTAATCCTCATTCCTGAGAATCTATAATCGTTGTCAGAAAATATGTTGTTTTATATTTTTTTTTGAAACGTTTGCATGTTTCCAAATTCCTACCTACATTTTGATCTAATAATCAAGAAGTACTTAGATGATAATAGGTACATACTAATTTCATTCTCGACTTAAGACTATTTCCGAACAATAGTGTATTGTTTTATTAGGAGTAAAAATTATACTTTTTTTGACGATGCTCTACCTTTGAACAGTGGCGGACTAAGCCTGTCGTGGGCCCGGGGCGGCAAAGCTAAATGTGGCCCCCGGTCTGTTCAGATAATGATATACTTCACACATTTTGTAAATATGGAATGACGTATGTATAATGGTTGACAAAATTCAAGTATTTATATAGGGTGTCCCAGGCTGAGCGTGCATTAGAAGTTTCTAGATAACTACAATATCTAGATCGGAGATTTTTGCACATCATTGTTTCACAACGACGATCTATCGATTAAAAACATTTTCAATATGGTGACACTTTCGGAAGTACCGGAAGTTGACAGCAACTTTCTTATTTTAAACGGGTCTCCTCATTTTTTACATACTTAAATTCTCTGTAAAATTTTATGAATTTTGATATTAAACACTCTATACCTAACGTTAACTGTTTTTGAGGAAAAGAAATATTTATAATTTTTGGACAAAAAAAACTTGTCAAAAATATGTGTATAGCCTAAATGTTAAATTTAGTGATTACCACAGCCACTGTACCATAAAGAGAAGACATGTGGCTATCTATTTCAAAAATTCTGAATAAAGCATTGTGACCGAATGTCATATAATAATGGCCGCAGCTGTCATGGAATTGAGCGACTAAAAAATTATCATAAATCATTTTTTTCAAATAGAAATCCACTTTTTTATTTCACTAGTGAAAAGGCCTTTCAATTAGTTACTTTTTGAACTATACATATGTTCCTATACCGAAAATAAATTGTTCTTAAGTTATTTAAGATTTAGTTAAAAGCGTATATAGATAAAGTGCATATTTTTCTTGATTTTAACCAGTAGGCCTATGACTTTAAACGTCAACTGATATAAAACAATAGTTTTGGCCATGTCATATTGTGAAACTTTGTTCAAAAATCGGTATATTCTCGATAATCATTTCCAAGCCAACTTTGCGCTGTTTTTTTTTCGATTATACGGTATATTATTAATAATATCAACTATTAGATATCACTAAAGATCTAAAATACGAAATATATTTTTATAAATCACTTTTTAAACTTTTAAGGCAGCAGTATTTATTTTTTTGACAGGTAGTTTTTTTCGTCCAAAATTTTTAAATATTTTATTTCCTCAAAATGGTTAATGTTAGGTATAGAGTGAACATCAATATCCATAGAATTTTACAGAGAATTTAAGTATGTAATAAAAATGGTGGCACCCATTTAAAATAAGAAAGTTGCTGTCAACTTCCGGTACTTCCGGAAGTGCCGTCATATTGAAAATATTTTTAATCGATAAATCTTGTCGTATAACAATGATAACTCAAAAACGATAACATCAATTTTTTAAAGCTTATTATAATATTTTTAAATCGAAAAACGAATACAATTTCAAGTTCTCCAAGATTCGAGGGGCCCCTTCGCTGTCTTAGACTCGTGGCCCCCGTTATACTTAAGACGGCAGTACTCACCATGCATCGGTTAGAAAGCTAGAATACAAATTATGCTGTGCATTGGTTGTATTTTAAAATGTTTATTCAGTAAAAATAAATAATGAAACCATTGAAATATAACTTAAAAGCTAAAACAAATAAATTCAAGTTTATATTCATAATTATTGTAGTCTTTAAAATTATGAAAAATAATAATTACTCGATATTTTAAACAAAGAAAATTGCCCCTTGATTTAATTTCCTAAATAGAAAATGCCATTGAGAATTACTGGGGCCTGATAATTGATAATTAAGAAAATATCTGCTTCTATTTATACTGTTTATAGTTCGCGTATACGTATGGTTTGCATACTCCACCTACAAATTGCTTCATAACTACTGAACATATATTGGTCTTATTTGCCAGTTGAATAAAAAATTACTTATTGAGATTTGGAGGCTCCCTAAAAGACGGGGCCCGAGGCGGACCGCCCCTTCCGCCCCCCCTTAGTCCGCCACTGCCTTTGAATGACCACCGTAAAGTTATTCCGACGTTACAGGAATGAACTACAGGAAAAAAAGTACATTTTTAGTCCGAATAGAACATACAATTTTTTTAAACGTTGCAAATAATTTTTTAATTAATTTCAAACATTGCAAATAATATAGTAATCGAGCAACAATTTGTACACTCGTTGAATTTGACACTTAATATCAGTTTAATAATATATTTTTGTACTTTTGTGCTTAGGCATAACAGTACTTTACTTTTATGCCTAGGTGTTAAAATAACAAAAATTTATACTTTTCAGACGTTGGAATAAAAAATCCTTTTGACCTGAAGTGAACGACTTTTTTTGCGGAATTTGTGACCGATGTGGAAAAATCCCACGCCCCATAGAATTGTTAATGCTATCGATATCGGGGTATAGATTTAGCCATTTAGGATAGAACTTTAAGTGGAAATAGGTCCTAGTCATTTGGAAATCCGATTTATATATTGTTTTGAATTAAAATTAAAAAAAATCTGATTTATATAAAAAATCTGATTTTTTCGATTTTTTTAAAAAAATCATCATTTTTTCCAACCTTGCAAAATAGGCATTGTAATGTAGTTCACACCATTTGAAAATCATTTTTAATCAATATAAAAATAAAATACCAGTTTCTTAAGGCCAACTGGCAGTAAGCGCCATAAAAAATAAGAAGAGTACAGGACAAGCAAATGACATGTAGGGCTGGAACTCGCTAAAATTATTATCGATTGTCATTCACCAGCCGTCTTTCGCGCCATTTTTTTCTCGATTGTATGGTATTATACCGTGTGGTGCATCGGAACGCGGGACATGGGCCATGTAAATTTTGAAAATGTCAATATTTGTTATTGAGTTATTGTATGAGGCTTTTTTGAAGAGGCAAGTTGTACTTGTAGGCGTTTAGAATATCGTTTCATTTGGAATATACACGTTAAAGTTATTTGTAAAAGTATACCTTCAAATTATTAAAAATTTATAATACGGCCCAGAGTTACAATTAAAGTACCAGCAAAAATATGATTTTGTCATTGTCAAATTCGATGTCATATTTTTTTGTTTACAAGAATTTAGGTGGTTTGAAAAGGGTGGTTAATTTTCTTCTCAATTGGAATGACCATCTACAAAAGAATTAGTTGAATTGAGAATAGTATTCGCGGTGTATGATTTATTTGCTGTTCATTACTCGATCACTCATACGTCCACAATAATTTAACAAATAAAAGAAATTTTTCTAACTAAAGGAACTTTATTAAACTATTTTAGTCTTTTCCCACTGTATCCCCAATAAACGGTAGTCAATGTTTTTCTTTTTTTCAACATAAAGAATATTCAAATCATTGTTGTTTTCTTCCTGTTCAATTATTTTTGTTTTCACACTTCCATGTGCTTAATACCTTAGTGCCTTTATTTAGTTTCAAACATCTGGTTTGTTCGTTAAATTGTTGACTTATTCGGTATAGGCTTTCCGGACACTGAGCGGCGAACATATCTAATACAGCGAGAATACTATGTCCAGCACAATGCCGTTTAACTATCGTAACTTTTTCAGAAGTTACAAAATTCATAATTATATTATACCAAATTACTCTGGTACATTGTTGTTTTTTTCCTGTTTCAATTATTTTAGTCTTCACGACTCCATATCGTCAGATATGGAGTTGTGAAAACAAAAATAATTGGAACTCCAAACGTGATAACCTGGTAACTCCATTTTTTACTTTAATAAGTTTTTTTATACCATTATAGAAAGAGAAAACATACTGTATAAGTATGGAAAGCAAATACATTTTTTATAATTAAAGAAAATTTGCTATTTTAACTCAGTAATATCTGTTAACTCCCAGTGATCTGAAATAGCCACCGAAATGCTGCTATCTCCGTAATTTCCATTACAATCACGCTAAAGCAAACACACGGATTCTTACTCGTATGTTTCTTTAGTATCGATCCAGGGTCGCACTAGGCCAAAGGGGCCCGGGGGCAATGTAAGGAGGGGCCCGTGTGGAATTTTTTTGCGTATTTTTTCGCCTTACGTTTTGGTCAATTTTTCCCTATGATATACAGGGTGAATTTTAAATAAGTGCAAATATTTTTATGCCGTAAAATGCCGTTTAACTATCGTAACTTTTTCAGAAATTACAAAATTCATAATTATATTATACCAATTTTATATCAAATTACTCTGGAACCTTCAAATTTTTGCAAACAAAATGTGACATCGAACTTGACAATGACACAATCACATTTTTGCTGGTATGTATTTTAATTGTAGCTTTCTCTGGACCATATTTTAAATTTTACTAATTTGAATGGTTGAACTTTTAAACAATTATTCAAAATGAAACGAAATTCTAGACAAAAGTACAACTTTAACGCCTCTTTAAAAAAGTCTAATAAGATTTTTCCAAGAAATCATCTGGGGAGATAATATTTGATCTTTTCAAAATTTACTTGTTATTTCCTATGTCCCGTATTCCGATGCAGCACACGGTAGATAATATAGTATCTTTTTTATTTAGTTTAAAAATTGACAAAGAGAAAAATAATAATCTGTAAATATAGAGTACTTACTGTATACTTTTAGCTGGTCCAGAGACCCCAACGATGTATTTTTCTGTGCCTGAGATGATTTTCCATTTCTTACTGATGTCGTCATGAGTCTTTGCCGTTTAAGAGGAGGTATAATTCTGGTAGGTCCCACCGGAAAGGCGGTAGAGGCATAATAACTGAAAATAATGGTATAGAATTAATACTATTTATTATTAATATTAATAAGAAATAACTTTATTGATATAAAGAAAAAGAAAAATTGGCTGAAATTGTTAAAATACTTTTGTAACTCTGTGTTGCTTAATTACGATGAATTTATTATTTCTATAAGACATTTTAACCTGTAGTTAAAACGCACGGTAGAAATTGATCGATCCAGATCAAGTTTTGTTTCGGTTTGCGTAATATAAAATATGTCGTCAAATAAGAAACCCGTTCTGCGAAATTATAAAACTACCTCATCTTACTAAAGCGTGCAAGTTACTACATGCACGCTTTACTTTTATCTATTTTAATTTATCAAAGATTGATAGAATAGTACCGCATTTAATCGGCTTTTGGTAAGAATATTACAGTTGATGCTAGAACTGAGGCTTCAACATCAGAAAACGCCGATGTTCAAAATCAGAATGCACAATATCACAGATAAAAGTAAGAATAAAACAGGAACAGTCAAATAAAAGATCAACTTCGAGGATTGTCATCTCTAGTGTAAATGAAACGAGTAAAAATGTTTCCAGTAGCAGCTCACTGAGTGTAAATACTGCTATCGACACTGGAGTTACTTATAAGGCACCACGGACACTATGCCGTTCTCGTGTCCAGATAAGTCACAAAATAGAAACGATTTCCAAACATTGTGTCATCGATCAATATCGACCACACAATTACGGAATATTGTTACGAGATTCCTCGTTTGTGTCAAACATGGCGCATAGTAAGAATTGCGTGAAACTAATAGGGAAGTGTATTTCACATTACCTACATTGTGCCTGTAGACACAAATAAGGCGCAATTAGGAAACCCTGCTTGGACGGTAACGGCCATATTGTCAACAATTTTCTATGTTAATTTATTATGCCGATCAATGCTGTTTTAATTAAAATGAAAGCAAAAAAAAGATTATTAATCAATGTTAGACAATCATTTTTACAACTTTAATTAACCATAAATCGGAATATTGGATTTTTTTGTAAAATTAATTTATTAAAAAATCTTTTTGTTAAACAATATTTGTTTTGCGGCCCTCGGTGCTTACGTCTTTTATATATCAAAAAACAACACAAAAAATCTATTGGCGCATGTAATGGGTAGCTGGAGGAAGTAAAATTCAAAGATAATACGCCTAGGCCCAGCGCAGCGCCCACGGTGCAACTGTTTTGAGACAAAAGCTGCAAATCAGTTGCTGAGATTGCAAATTGTTATGCAACGTCGGGAGCGTATAGTAATGTGAAGCTGCATACGAATCGATTCAAACGGGACTAGTATGCAATCAGTCGCAGATTCCCGCGACCCGCGATCCGCGACACGCGACCAGCCACCAGCGACCCGCGACCCATTTCCCGCGGTCACAGTTGCGTTGCATTTTAAAAGTTGCTTGTTTTTGAGTCCTGCGTTGTCTGCAGTATTGATAATAATTAAGTATGTCTTCACCATCTTAAATTGAATACTACACGAACTGATTAAAAGTGAGTAAACTAGTTTGCAACTTTTGTCACAAAACAGTCGTACCGTGGGCGCTGGGCCTTACTGTTAAAATACTAAAATACAGTGCCATGATATGTTTAATTTACGACAACGATGTGTGAGAGAATACTTTTCATGGCAAATATGTTACATAAAAAAGAGAGCTAAGTGTCTTATATGTATGTGATTTGGCTCACGTGGACTTTTCAGTCAAGCAATTATGTAGATTTATTACGGGCATAAATAGGGAAAAGCTCGGGAAAAAGCTTCGGAAATATATTTTTAGAGAGGCATCTTAGGGAAATGCTTATGTAATGACAGAATACCGAATTTTTGCCTAAAATGCGTTGTCACCGTTGCTTCAGTTCCCACGTATACTGAGCACACAAATATAACAGTGTGTGCAATTGGTCGCATGAATAAAACGATACGTAACTGTTCCTGAAATGTGACAATACTTTGGTTTGTTTATAAAACATTATATTATATTCCTGATTTAGTTGCATTTTAAAGAAAGCTCCCTAAAACACTTATATAATATAATATAATTATTTTTTCCATTTTTGTTCTTATTTACTACCTGACAAAAATAATTACGATACGTCAAATTGATTAGTGTTTCAGTAGCGTATCTCTATTAACATCAAAGTAATCGACCACAAGCTGACAGACTCTCCTGGTTAATCTGCGATACTTTCTTTTCATTAAAAAAAATAAAATAAAGTTATTATTATACCTCCATAATGAATCTTGCGACGAAAATCTAAATTCAGCAACTTTTCTATTCCTGCCTCCAATTTTTCCACTTTTTTTCTTTTCCCCGTTACGCCGAGGCGCCGTTAAAAGCCTTTGTATTTGTATTGGCCGGAAACTGATCAAACTTTCCGTAAACTTTTCCCGTGAATAGCTAAATGACTCATTAAACTTTTTATTGTTCTTCAAGAAATATGCTGATGAATATTTTAAAAGTTGTGTCAACTAGACGCGCAGCGGTGAACACCGAACCGTTAACGGACAGGATGATGCCGACGAAGAGTTTCACAAACAAATTTAATGAATTGCCGTTGCTATTTCTACAGTAATGTTTTTCTTTTTTTCTTTTTATTTTTATTTTCTATTAATTTAATAGTTCCCTTTTTTGTCTCAATATTAAGGGACGGTGTACGGCCGGAAATACTGCGACCTGTACTGCCTATTGTTTGTCCCCTTTTTATGAACACAGTACCTTATGCTTGTAGAATCTGAACACTGTGCTGAACACAAACTCCTATGCTTGTAGCTTGTGTAGGTCCTTAATAGGACGGAACCATAGATCTTCTGAATCATAGATATATCTTTCACAATAAACTAATTTTAGATGTTTACAGAAAACCCGCAAATACAGACAGATACTTAAATTTAAAGTATAAGTGTAAAAAAGGTGCTATAAAAAGTTTATATGATAGGGCAAAAATAATATGTTCAGACAACAATTCATTAAACATAGATATAAACCACATAAAAATTTATTAATAAAAAACGACTATCCAACATCTTTTATTGACAAAACATTAAAGGAAATACAAACCCCGAATCATAGAGAGAATACACACAATGATAACAATACACCCAATATATACAACTTACAATTTAATACATATGAGGCGTTTAAGAAAAAAATAGATGGATAGAAAAACAACATAACATACGAACATCCTTCAAAACGCAAAATACATCCTTTTAACATAAACATTATTAAGAAAGGGCCATTTTCACAAATCTAAGATTTGTTAGCATTCATGGGACAGAGGGCACAGAGTAGATTTTAACAAAGCAAGAATTATAATGAAACAAGCGATAGCCTGTAAAAGAAGAATTAAAAAGGCGTTTTAATATAAAATCTAATAAAAATAAATGTATTGCTCATACATCTGTAGATGTTAGTAAAGTATGGCTATCGCTTCTTTGATTTTAGAGAACATAACATAAATAAGTAACACACGTAAAATTTAAAAACAAATTAAAAAATAATCATACAGAAAGTTTGAAGCTTTTTGGTTTTACTAAAAAGTAATTTAAGTAATTGTTATCAAATAGTAATTGTTAATTTTGAAGTTTCACTTTATATAATGTCATTTTAACAGAACGTCAACGGTTTTTGTAGACGTATCTGTTTAAAAAAAACTAAAGTGTTTTCGAATAGTTGCATTTAAATATTTTAAATAGTTTTTTTCTTTGTTTTTTGTGATTTTTTTTGCTTCCGACGACGGAAAGAGATAAACTTTCCGAAACTTTAAGCATTTTTTTTTGTTCGTTAGGCAAATTTGTGTATCACTAAACCTAACTGCTGACAAGTAGGCTCCGTTGAATTAACGCAGCAGTGTTTACAAAAAATAACTCTTTTATTTTGTAGATTCTCTTACAGTGGCGAAATACTCATAGGACTTTTTTGGAGAGAATGAGATGAATCCGCCACAGAGGTATAGACATTCTTTATAGATCCTCTGATACTAGCCTTGCTTTCCTAAATAGAAAGTGTCGCTTGCGATCCAGATACTCGCAGTGACATATTATGTGCCCTGGTGTTTTAGGATCTTTATCGCAGAGTCTACAGTATAAACTTCCTGGATATAGGTTGAGCTAGTTCAGGTAGCACTTGACAGCCATATGTCCTGCCAAGAGACCTGTTGTAATTCGCATTTTATTCCTGCTCGATACCAGAATTGTGGCTTTAGAATTAGGTCCTTGGCTAAAGGCTTTGCTATGCTTGGTCCTTGCCTGTTTCTCCAGTGGACTGTTCGCTTCTCCCTTATTTAGAGTTTTACTGCACTACATGTTATAAATTTGGACACTTCCAGTATTATCTGTGGGCCAAAATAGCATTCCAATGATTCTTGTCTTATTAATTTTTCGGCTTTTTTGTTGCCTTGGATGCCGCTATAGTCCGTCAACAGAATAATTTAATTTTGTTCCTTTCTGCCAGAGTTCACATTAGAGCATCCCCAGATGAGATTCGACGATACTTTAAAACTTATGAGCGCCTTATGTGCCGCCTGGCTGTCTAAGAATATATTGATAAACTTTTCTCAGCAAGCTCTTCTATTGTTTCCTCTTGAAAATTGTAGAATGGCGAGGATTTCTGCTTGGAATACGGTTGGGTAATCTACCCAAGGAAAATAATAATAGTTAAAAAAAACTGAAGGTCGCACAACGCTCAATGGAACGAAATATACTGTAAATAGCCAAGAGAGATCGTAAGTGCGTGGTCCCACATGAGACGTACCTAGCGTAGCGTAGAGCAGAAAGGGCCGCGAAGCTTTTAAATACATTGAAGTAAAGCAGGAAGTGGCCCCACATACAGGAGGATTGGTGGACCACAAAAATTACAGCATGGTACCCACGAGGAATTAAGAGACCTAGAGGAAGACCAAACCTTAGATGGGACCATGATATTAGAAAATTCGGAGGGATAAATTGGGGCCGCACAACCAACAATAGACAACAATGGGCC